TCTGAATGCCATGTTGGGGGGGCCAGCTATCCCACTCTTTGTCCCAGGCTGAGGGCCGTCTCTCATTCCTGGGAAGAAATCCTGCCTTCTTCCTCACATAGACCAGGGATGGCTCAAGTGTGGACAGATTTGCCCCTTAAAGCAATGGTCATCACACTGGGGTATGTGGAGATCACAAAGACTTTCTAAGGGATGCACAAACACAGGCAGTTTGGGGAAATGAGTTTTTAGATCTTCATCTTCCCCAAGTATGGTTTCCCAAAATTGATGAGCCTGAGAATGTGCCAGGCAAGGTTCTTGGGGTTCCCCTAAAACACTTCCTCTTTTACAATTGCTTTTTCCCTCTTCATAAAAAGCTTACCTCCCAACTATCATGAATATAGTCCATTGTTCTAGGGTGTAAAAACCTTCACAGTGCTAAACAAGAGTGATAGAAAATATTGACACCTTATGGAATTGTCATGACTAACAAATCCTTTGGCAAAGCAGGTGGTATCAAATTTTCTGCTTTCAGCAAAATTGAAGGAGACTCTAATAGAGTTAACAACCTGTAATCAAGAATGAGTAATTTTTGCCATATAAATTGTCAAAGAATGAAATGATATTTTTATAACAAAACTGCTTCCATTCCCACCGACTTACTGATATGAGCAAGATATCTTAACCATCACAGCTATAAAAAATGAAAAATAGAAATAGAATTGATGCTGAATTCTACCACATGGAATCACTCTGACCGTAAGTCATATGCATCCTCAGATTCATGAGCAATTTTTAAAAGAGAGCCCTATCTCATTAAAAGAAACATTTCTAGTGAATTTTTATTTTATGTTTAATCATTATCAATATTCATGATATTTTACATTTTGATCAACTATGTGCTGATAATAATGGAAATTAGATCCCAATACATAAGAAAACTTTGAAAATTTAAAACTCATAGTTACAAGAAAAATTAATTTCAATAGCTATAAATATTCTGTTGTCGTAAAGACACGAGGACAATCAATGAAAGTGCTGTCAAACATACAAATATGTTGCATTAAGATAAAATTCTGTAGGAAAAGTGGAATGGGAAGTGAGACTCAAGGAATAAAAAGGAACAATGTAAACCTTTGACCCTTAGAGAATAATTTTCGTATGTATTTTTCAATGGATGATGGTATATATAAAAGACCTTCCTTTGAAACTTAGGTGCCATTGGATATACATGTAAGAGTGAAATAATTGTTTTACTAAAAAGTATAAATATTTATAAAATGCTAAACATTATATATTTTTCCAATATAGAAACTTATGAGGGCCGGCCCGGTGGCGCACTGGATAGTGCACCGCTTGGGAAGCGCGGCGGTGCTCCCGTNAGTTAAAAGACCCTCAGTTATTACAAGGACAGTGACCTCCTCGTACCTCAGTCATCAATGAGTCACCAAGAAAGCCATTAACCTAGACGTAATTGTTTTCTACCTTTATTGCATTTCCCGCCTGGGTATCAGCTGGGAGGAACTCCAGAACACTGAAGTTAGCCTGAGATCAATTAGTGTGAGGAAAGAAGTCTGTACGTTTGCAGGATCTCCTAATGTACTCAAGTCTCAACCCCTAAATCACCACCCCCATGGTTACTGATCTCTATCTGAATGCCATGTTGGGGGGGCCAGCTATCCCACTCTTTGTCCCAGGCTGAGGGCCGTCT